GAGGGAGCAGAGCGCAGGACTGTTTTGGAATAAGTTGAGAGAAAAACCTCGTCGTCGTGCTTCCTGTCTGGCCTCTCGTAGAGTGAGGCCTAGTTTAAATCTGAGGACTGCTACCTCACATTCAAACTTATAGGCAGGGCAGCTCCTATAAAACACATTATGGGAGTCTCCACAATTGGCACATGTACGTGACTGAGCAGGGCAATTTGAACAGTCATGACCAGGTTGGGCACAGAGGGCATGGGCTGTGGAGCGACAATGTTTGGCTGGTGGCCAAAACGCCAACATTTTTACATTGACGAGGAAGGGGTTGATATTGTCGGACATGATAAGACAATCCACCAATTAAACCTCATGGGGGAGGTCTTGTCTATGGAAGCTAATCTTGCAATATTGACATGAGATTTTGGCCTCTAGGAGGAAGAGTGTAACACTGTACTGCCACTGCATCATATTCATCAAGGCAGGAAAGTAGGTCATTTTCACAGTTTGACCAGTCCTTGTTAACCAATGGGACAAGCATTTAGGGGGAATAGAAACAGTTCCAGTACAAGTATTAAGAGATGGCTGTTGGAAAAGTAGGAGAAGAATCCGGGGAGAGAGGGAGGGTGTTAGATGTCACAGATTAGAGGGTGTTATAGGAAAGTATGGTAACAAAAAGGGGAAAAGAGGGAAGTAAATGAAGTAGAGCAGGGATTAAAAAATGGGAAAGGTTAAGGGGATAGAACAATTGAGTGAATTGCATTGTATCTGTGACTGGGGAAGGAATAGGGACACTGTTCAAGGAAAACATCAATGGCTGTTGGAGAAGAAGAATCCAAGGGATGAGAAATGGGGATTGGGGAAGGTGGTCAAGTATCAGGAAGAATGTCTGGAGGGGAGGGGTCTGGAGAAAGACACTGTTGTGATGGAGGGGATTTGTGTGAGTATTCAAGTGGGAGCAGTAGAGGGTTGGGTATTATGGGAGGGTGTAGGAAGAAGGAGGGTGGAGGGAACTTGAGGAGTAGGATGGATATCTGTAAATACTTTAAATGTAGAAGGGGTAGAACAGAGGGATTGGGGGTGGATGAGGGAGCGGAGTGTTTCCTTTGGGTCATCTTTAGGAAGTTTTGGATGTTTTCAAGGGTTTCTTCAGGAGACTTGGGTGAAGAGGACTGAGAAACAAAGGTTCTCTTTAGAGGAGGAGAAAAGGAGACAGATATCTGAGGAGCAGAAGAAGAAGAAGGTGTAGGAGAGGATGTAGTAGGAGTGGATGTGTAGGCTGCCTGTTGCAACGAATAAAGAGAGGAGGAGGGGTAGAGATTGGAGTATCTGGATTAAGATTGGAATATGAATTTGACTGGGGATAGGGTGAGTAGATGTAGGATGGTTCTGAGTATAGGGAATAATACAGAAACATCTTGTGAAGATGGGCGGGGGAGTAGAGCAAAGGACTGTTTTGGAATTAGTTGAGAGAGAAAAACCTCATCTTCATGCTTCTTGTCTGGCTTTGAGTGAGGCCTAGTTTGAATCTGAGGACTGCTACCTCACATTCAAGCTTATGGCAGGGTAGTTCCTATAAAATACAATATGGGAGTCTCTGCAATCAACACATGTATGTGACTGAGTAGGACAATTTGAACGGTCATGACCAGGTTGGGCACATAGAGAGCAGCAGGCTATGGAGACAATGTTTGATTTGGTATGTAGGTCGTTTTCACAGTCTGACCAGTCCTTGTTGTAAATAGACACGCATTTAGGGGTAGAAACAGTTGCAGTACAAATATTAAGAGGGGTGACGTTCAGCAGGAATGGGTTTGCCAGTGAGGTCAGTTAGGGTAGATAGTGTACTTTAGATTCAGATGGAACTGTGACAAGGCATGAACAATTGGAGCAGCTGCAAAAAGGTAACCTTGCCTACATGTTTATGGAGGCACTGCTAAAAGAGAAGGTATTCTCAGAATAGGGGGCTGTGGGGGAATCACAAAGAATCAATCTGACTTGGCTGGGCCAAAGAGAGTACTCAGAAAATGCAGAGGTAAAGGCAGTAGAAGGACAAGGGCAACAGGAAGATGGGGTGGTGTGGAGTGGAGTAAATCTGTGGGGGAGGACAATAAGGATGCAGAGTAGAAATAAGGGAAGGGGGTAGACATTGAAGAGGACTGTGCAATAGGAGATGGAGAGGAGAATGTTAGGAGAGGGAAAGGGGCACTTTTGGAGGTTGAGTCATAACTGGGTGGATGTTTTGGAATGGATAGATTTGTCAGTAAGTGTCAAGGAGGTGGGTATTAGTATCAGTGGTCAGAGCCATGGTCAAAGATGGGTAGGGTCAGAAAACCATCAAAATCAAATTTAGATAGGCTAGTTGATGAAGGGGCAAGCCTTAATGCCCCTATTAAGGGTAAAGAATCTTCATTATTGCCTGAATATAAAATGGGGAAAAGAAATACGGTCTACACTCAGGGTCCCCATACGGAGTAAGGCCTAGGCAATCAACCAAGGGAATACCGTGCCATGGCTCCCAGAGGCTATTCATGACTGATACAGAGCCAGCCTTTCATCCTTTCAGCATGGCTTTCACACCTTAGGAATGGGATACACCTTAGAGGAAGGGGATAAAGAAGATACAGAAGAATAAAGGAGAGAAGAAAAGAGCAAAATTAATTGAGGCAAGGGCTGAGGCCCAAGGTAGAGGTGATCCCCTACACTGGGCCTCAATCTCTGTCTCCTAGGCCCTCCCATGACAGTGAGCAAGGTATTGGGAAGGTAACAATGATATAAATGAAACAGTTTACAAAGTGTCTGCACCCCTATGAGACTAAGACCCTGTTTTTGACTTACTCCCCACATGGCATTTCTTGTGACCTATTTTCTCTTCGTAGATTACTTCATGTATCAGTGAGTGCCAGACTGGAAACCTTATTAAATACACAGGCAACTTTTTTCACTGTCTTAACCCATTACCGATGGGCGTCCCATATATGAGACACCCGAAAAAAATAACATGATTGCCGGGCATTCCGCCAATATGACGCTGTATCAGGGCTCGTGCTCCGACGCAGCAGCGAGCCATGGGCAGCAGATGGACAGACTCCGGGGAAGCTCTGCCCGCCAATTTTGTAGCCACCCGGAATATTTTATTTTTGGCTTCAAAATATAACGGCGTGAATGGGATTAACTTGTGCAGTTAAATTTTCAGTTTGTCCAAAAATACATGGTTCATTGTTGCATGACTCTTTTTTTGCATTATGTAATGATAGTAATGGATGAAACATTATTTGTACATTGTGTCTATGCTATTTTAATGGGTTATCATTGATGGTATAACATGGTATGGTTCAATTTGATTGATAAATCTTTTAGGTCTGCAAATATTGACTGGCTTTGGCCAATCAATGCTGGGCGGTAAACAGGCACTTAAACAACTTTGTGCTGACAACAAGTATGAACAAGAGAACTGTGTGGTGCATGCAAGATACTGTGTGCATGCCACAAAGTTTCCAGTCTGAATTATGTGTAGTTTCTCCATTTATTTATGACAGTGCCATTTGATTTTACTGTAAATGCATACCAGTCTTATTTTCTGTTGTTCTCTCTATTACTGACAAAATTTACTATGTGCCATATACTTGTGGTGCAATCTGATTGAAATTTTCACTTTTGTTTGAATTATTTATTCTGGAGATGGACCTGCTGTGAACAAAATAATCAGCTTAGCCTACTGCTCCATATCTTCAGATCTCTGACAAAGGCCATTGGCCATCCACCATGACTGGCCTGGTAAGACAGAACTGAAACTAGTTCATATACATTTTCAGACACTTTCATCGTGGACAAAAAGAAAAAATATCTTGTTGAAAGATACTTACAATCAGCAATATGCACTACCAAAAGCTAACCAAAAGAAGAAATTTGTTATACATATGTTGAAACTTGACCCTTACCAATTCTTTACAGTATGGATGCACTTACCAGACTAAGTCCCCAACTCCAAGTCACAAAATTATTCCATAATCCAAGTTGCCGTAACTGGGTGGAAACTATGTCACTTTTCATGGACACATCGTAGCCAGCAACGACAATCTATAGGCTGTGATCTGCAAGCAAAGGATATTTATGGTGCAAGCAACAGCGACAGTTTTTCATTTTTATTAACGATGTTCTTAAGTGACTTCATAATTGAGTGATTGTTACTTATGAACCGTATCCATGTTGACAAATGTAGAAAAGGTATGAATGAGACTGGATATCTTCACAATACAAGAGATGTATTTGACCGGTTTCGATTACGTTTTCCATCAGAAATACATGAATTTCTAATGAAGACGTAATCGAAACTGGTCAAATACATCTCTTGTATTGTGAAGATATCCAGTCTCATTCAAACCTTTTCTACAATTGTTATTTATGTTTGTTTCTGTAAGGATAGGCTTTGTTTTTTCTTTTGTAGTGTTATGTTAGAACTCAAATATCTGCAGAAAGGAATTGGGTGCGAGCAAGAATGATCACAGCTGTACCTCCAAATTAGCATCACTGCAATATTTTTCCAACCTAGACTGGGCGTGCCCGAGTGCCCAAGAGGAGGGTAGACGGGGCATCGAATGGCCTTTGGCTGACAGCGGCGCTTTCCCGCGATCTTTTAACCTTCACTTGTGGTGTTACTGTTCATGTCTGCAGATTGTTTCTTGTAGCTTTTCGTCCTCTACAGAACATCATCCTACCTTATAATGCATCCATACCGTAAAGATTAACCTTCCAATTAAGCCCGAATCCTTCTGTCTCTTCCTGAATCTTACATAACAGGAAAATCAACCAACATTAGAAACATAAATGGTAAACTCCTTATATCAAGTTTCGTAAACATACGCGCGTCTCACCTTCGTTTTCTATCAGCTGTTCCG